AGATCCTTTTACTAGACAGCTTTGCAGTTTAAAATTTAAAAAGTAGCCAGGCGTGGTGGTACACGCCTTTAATCCCAGCACTAGACAGGCAGAGGCAGGTGGATCTCTGTAAGTTTGAGCCCAGCCTGGTCTAAATAGGGAGTTCCAGGACAGCGGGGGCTACAGGGAAACCCTGTCTCAAAAAGACCGAAAAAAAAAAAAAAAAACCACACACACACACACACACACACACACACACACACACACACCTGTTCCAGCAATTCAATACCTTAGTATATTCGATAAGACCTCAACACGGGTGTCTAAACAAAAGCATGCACACAAACTCAAAATCGACAGATGGGTAATAAAAGGCAGCAAGCATCCATTCAATGACGTATTACACAGTCATCAACAGTAAGGACTTGTTAAGGCCAGAATCTCAGCACTCAGGAGTTGGAGACAGGAGGATCAGAAATTTAAGGTCATTCTTGGCAACACGGCAGGTTCAAGGCCAGCCTGGACTACATGAAACTGTGTTGGTTGGAGGAATTGTCAAGTTGACAAAATCTAGACTCACCTAGGCAATGTGTCTCTGGGGCATTCTCTTGATGACACTGTTGTGGGACCATACCACTGGGCTGTAGACAGTGGGACATGAGCAGGGCATTAGCATGCATGTGTCCCTTGGTCTATTGCATTTTCATTCACTGACTGTGTATGCATGTTTGCTGGGGCACACACAATGGAGGTCTAAGGACAACTTGCAGGAGTCAGTTCTCTCCCTCCACCATGTAGATCCCAGGGATTGAACTCAGCTGTCGGGCTTGGTTGCAAGCACCTTTCCTCCTGAGCCATCTCATGAGCCCCCTCTCTGTTCCTGATTGCAGATGTCATGTGACCAGGTCCTTCAACCCCTGCCACTGTGGCTTCTCTGGCTGGATAAGCTGTAACCTGTAATGCTGCTGAGTCAAAATAAACCCCTTCTCCCTTAAGTTGCATGGGTCAGAGTGTTTTATCACAGGAACAGGAAAATGAAACTAAGACAGAGAGACCCTGTCTTAACCTCAAACACCAGAGGCTGGCTGTGAAAATCATTTGTTTATTGAAGTGGGAACCATCATCGCTGTGGCTGTGAAGTCAGCCCCATGCTGACTACTTGGAGTTTCTGCTGGAGAAAGGAAACTAAGGCAGGAGAGTAGGTGGGAGACATGGGGGAATTCAGGGAGAGGTGGGGAAGGGCAGGACAGGGCGTGTGCAAAGGTGGGTTCCAGGGACACACACCCCACACAGAGGCAAAGACCACTGGTCATATCTGCCCGGACTTGATGGCCGTAGGAACATCGAGGAAAGACCACAGTGTGTCAAGACATTTCAGTCCTTCCTGTCATGAAGCAGCTGCCAAGAGGGGCTGGCCAGGAGGGTCTCAGGACTGTGGAGAGAGAGGGGGACAGTCATCTTGTGAGGCCCAGGAGGGAGTGTTGAGGGGGCACTGATGCCAGGCACTGTGGCACATTCCTGCTGTCCCAGCGATCCTCCTGCCTCAGCCTCATCAGTGCTGGTACCACAGGCATGAGTCATCATGCCTAGCTGAGTTAAGACTAAATGACTTCATTTCTCGTGTAAAGCATGCTGGGAGCAGCATCTAGCCCAAGGGTACATGACGGGACAATACTAGCACAAGGCATAGAAACTAGTACTGAGCTCTAGAGGGTGGAAGGATCATCTAGGTTGTGGAGTGTCAGAAACTAGAACAGCTCTGGACTGGGCCAGTGAGTGGGGCTCAGCTCTACAGGCTCAGTGTGGAGCAGACCAGGAACATACTGGCAGGTGATGAAATGAAACTGAGTTCAGGACAGCCTGATCACCTTAAGCGTGTCTCAAAATAAAAATTAAGGTAGCTGGGTGACAGAACACCTGCCTAGAATCCCCGTGAGGGGCTGGGGGGTGGCTCAGTCAGTGTGAAGAATGCTTGTCTAGCACATGTGAGGTAATGGGTTTCTAGTCCCAATACTACTTGGGGGAAAAAATCTCCAACAAAGGGGATCCATCATCTGTTTTAGAATGTACTGCATTGAGAACTAGTCCCTGGCTCAGAGCACAGCAAGTCACCACTTCCAGCATATGTAGTCAAATGTTTATAGACATTTTGTGTCCTGACTTGGAAATATGCACCTGGGGTTCAGGGTGTGGGGGCTGGCACTAGGGCTCACTCTAGACTGCTAGGAAGCTGAGAGCCCGCACTATGGTAGTTTGAGGAATGTGATTAGTTCTAGAATTAGCTTTGCTTTCTAGCTCTCTCCCTGGGTTCTAAGGTATTTCTCTCTGGAGTGTGTCTGTGGTCTGGCTTAAAGTTCCTAGATCCAGTTCTCTGGTTCAGAGTCTAAGGATCATTAGTGATCCAGTTCAAAGCTGAGCTGGGAAATTCCAGCTAAACACTTGCAGGGGCCTTGGCTCCTCTCAAGCGACCTACTGGACTGGAAACTCTTTTTTGGCAAAGGGTCAGAGTTGAACCAGGGGCCAAACCTCCAGAGCGGAGTCTTATGTGGCACAGGTTGGCCGTAAACTTGCTCTGTAGTCAAGGATGTCCTTCAATTCCTGATCCTCCTGCCTCTACCTCCACTGTTGGGATTATAGGACTACAGCACCAATGTTTTTCTGATACAGGATCTTTTTCTTTAATATTTTATTATTTTTATTTTATGTGTATGCATGTATTGCCTGCACATAGGTAAGTACATTGCCCGTGGAGGACAGAAGAGGCTGTCAGATCCCCTGGAACTGGAGTTACGGAGAGTTGTTAGCTGCCATGTGGGTGCTGGGATTCAAACCCAGGTCTTCTGCAAGAACAGCCAGCGTTCTTAACCCCTGAGCCATCTCTCCAGCCCCCTGAGACTGGATCTTAAGAACCCCAGGCTGGTTTCCAACTCACGGCAATCCTTGTGCCTCAGTGTCCCAAGAGCTCTGCTCACAGGCATGCTCCCCAAGCCTTATTTTTGCATTTACATATTCATTTATTTATTGACAGTCTCCTGTAGTCTAGGGTGGTATCAAACAGTATGTATGAGATGAGCTTGAACTTCTGATCTGGAGCCTTCTCCAGTGCTGGGACTATGAGGGTAAGTCACCGTATCGAATTTACATGGTGCTAGAGATGGATCTCAGGCTCTGAATCTGGGCAAGCACTCTACCAACTGAGCAAGACTGATCTCCAAGCCTCCCTTTCTTTAGCATCTTCTAGTCCAGAAGCAAGAAAGTCATTTACAAGGGTCCTCCTGCCCCCACAGGTCTCTTAAGGGCTTTGTCTCTCCTCAGCCAGCAGAGGAGAGATACTGGTACTCAGTACGTGCTTAATAAATACCTATGCAATGGATTTCCCATCCCTGAAATTCCTCCAGGGAGGGGAGATGGAGCTCCAACACAGGGAAGAAAATTGAGGCTGGGACTCCAAGCCCTCCTACAACAAGAACCCCTGGGATGTGACCATCTCCAACTCCCCACCCCAGCCTGGGAGTCAGTATTAGGGAGGACAGGACACTCCAAGGTAGCACCCTGTCCCAGGGGCCCCCTCACCTCTGCCTTCAGGGCTCACTGGCACTGGGTCAGGGCCACTTTGATGGTGGTCACCAGCTTCCGAAACTTGCTCTCTGTATCCACGTAGCCATCACCTCTCTGGGCAAAGGAGGAGACGAGAGTGAGGAGTTAAGACCACACACCAACCCCGGTCCCCCACCCACACTCGACCCCTAGGCAGGACACACACTTACCTTCTTGGAGTGAACTAACTTGCCGGCTACTGTCACTTCAAAGAACCCGGTGGCCTGGGGAGTCCCCTCCCCACACTGAGGAGAGAAGGCATTGAGGGACTGAGATGGTCTCCCCAGGACACCCTCGCCCTTCCCAGGAGGGAAGGCGGGGATCACCTAACCCACTCCCACTGCCACCCGGACCCAGGGACAGACAAAGGACCCACACGACTCTCTGGCCCCAGTTCCAAGACTCACAATGTCCAGACATCCGGGGAACTCATCTTCTAGCTGCTCCTTGAGCTGGAGATACTGAAAATAGGCCGAGGGGTCACAGCCAGACCCAGCAAGCCTTCCTTCTGAGGCACCAAACCACCCTGACCTGCTTCCAAGGACCACCGATCACTCACCTTGGGCTTGTAGCCTCAAGCTCCACTGGTGGGTAAATCCACGAAGGCAGACCCAGTCCACCAGGCAGTACAGTCCCAGAGAGCACAGGCGGCCAGCAGAGGCAGGGAACGGGAGAGGGGAAGGAGGAATGGATAAAGAAAGATACAGGGGACAAAGAGGAGGCAAAAGAGACCCTCAAGGGAGGGGAAGACACACCAGACACAGAGATGTGCAAAGGTGCAGATATACAGAGAAAGCCCACAGGGGAGGGAGCCCAGAAATGGGGGTGGGAGGGAGGCAGTGGGAGAGAAGAAATAGACACCACAAGTATGAAACAGAGAAGGCAACAAGGGAGGGAAAACAACAGGCAGAAGTGAATTAGAACCAAGCCGATTCAGGAAAAATCCCACCCACCAACCCCATCACCCACCCACAGCCAAAGAAGAAACAGTTCTGGATCAGCCCTTCTCCTGGCACAGGATGAAACACATGCTTCCCAACCCCCACAGCCGGCAATTTCTGGACTGGAATCTGGTGCAACAGCCTCATGGGAGCCTGGGCAGGTCAAAGCAGGCTCCTGAAAGAGCATCTTGAAAAGCAGAGCTGATCATGGCCCGAGAGGGGGCACACAGACAGCTGGCTGGGTCACAGATCCCAGATTCCAGGTACCTGGTCATCTGCTGTAGGGGCACTGAGCTGCTGACCTGGGCCTGGGCCTCTCCTGGCCTCAGTTTCCTCCCCTGTAAGATGAAGCTAAAATTCCCCTTCAGGGTTTCAGAGATGGGAAGTCCTTTGCACAGGAATTTATGAAGCACCTACTGTGTGCCAGCTGAGTGTCAGATGCAGGGGAGAAAAACCATCAAGACAAAATGGCTTACCTTCCTGTGTCCCCCTCCAGTAGGACACAGGGAGGTAGCGACGCATGACACACGTGCTAACTGCTCAGGTCACACCCCTTTGCGCTACATGCATGGAAACTGAGGCCAGGAGAGGGGTGGGGTTACAAACACAGGCACCCAATGAGCAGTAACCAGCAAGAGATGTTTTACAGTGCTACAGACTGAACCCAGGACCTCGCCCATTCTAGACAAGCCCTGTATAGTCACAGAACAGAAGAAAGTCAAATCAGCAAATTGTACCTCCTGTCTGAGTGCTTTACTCCCAGCCTCAAACAGATGGAGCTCTGAGTTTTAGGCTAGCCTGGTTTACACAACAAGATCCAAGTCAGCCAAGGCTAACTGGTGAGACACTTTCTCAAAAAACTGGGCGTGGTAATCCCAGCACTCTGGAGGCAGAGGCAGGCAGGATGGATCTCTAAGACCAATTGGGAGACTGTCTCAAAAAAGCAAAATAAAAATCA